GGGCGGGTGCTCTGTGTTCTCAGGAGCCGGACTGGCCGGCGCCGGGGTTTGGTATCGGTCAGGCGCCTGCGAGAAGGAGCAGACAGATGATCAGGACACAGGCAGTGACGGAGCAACATCCTCACCCCTGCGACTCCAGTTAGCCCCCACCAGGCTAGAGCAACACCCCCTCCCTGGGCAATTGCAGCGCCCCCGCCCCCAGCCAGCCTTTCCCAGGCTGGAGCAGCATCCCCGGGCCTGGGATGCCAGCCAGACCCCACCCCCAGGACCTGAGCCAGACTAGAGATGTGAGGGGATGTCTACACTAGCTCATTAATTCGAGCTAGGTAGGCAAATCAGGCAACCGGAGTTGCAAATGAAGCCCAGGATTAAAATACCCCCGGCTTTATTTGCGTGTTCCCATCCAGCCGTCATTTTTAAATCCCCCTTAGTCCGAACTAACTCGTGGAATGGGGAGTAACAGTTAATCCGAACTACGGACTGAGTTTGGATTAACTTTAAACTGCCGCGTGTAGCCGCGAGCAGTTAGTTCGGACTAAGGGGGATTTAAAAATGGCAGACGGACGGGAACATGCAAATAAAGCCTGGGATATTTTAATCCCGGGCTTCATTTGCAAGTTCAAGTGACTACATTAGTTCGAACTAGGGTGGTAGTGTAGACATACCCCAAGAGAGTAATCCATCAGTCAACTACTTGCATTCCCTCCCCTCCCCCTGCTGCCTCTATATGCTGGCTTAGAAGACAGTTTCCCCCAGCACTGTCTCCGCTTCCCCTCGCTGCCTCTATCAGAGGCAGCAGCAGGGAACAGGGGTACAGGACGGGGGCAGAGGAGGCTGCTCGGGCAGCAGCCCCTGTCTGTGGGGGGGTCCCAACTCCCTGCTGGGACCCCCTGTGGACGGGGGCTGCTGCCAGGACCAAACCCCACTGTGCTCTGCAATTTAAAAGGCAGCAGGAGTTGCTGCCTTTTAAATTGCAGAGCCGCAGCGGGGTTTGGTCCTGGTGCGAGCTGGGACTGAGCCGGGCTGCCTGCCCCTGACGAGTAGTCAAGTCAAATTCCATCGACTACTCAGTTACTAAAATAACCTAATTTTAACATCCTTAAGCCAGACCCTCCCAGGCTGGAGCAGCACCCCTGTGCCTGGGACGCCAGCCAGACCCCCGCCCCCCAGGCCCTCATCCTGGGCCGGTGCAGCTCTCCCTACCCTGCACACCTGACCTGGCCCAGTGGTCCCTCCCAGTTGTCCCAAATAAGTCCCCCCATCCCACTCACCAGCCAGGAGCCCGGCTCTCCCCGCGGGGTCTTGCTGGTGGGGGGGCTGGCCGGGGGAGGCCGCGGGGCGTAAGGCACACAGGTGACGCTGGCTGGTGAGGTGCTGGGGTCCGGCCGCCCCCGGGGAACTCGGCTGGCTCTAAGGTCACTTCCAGTGGGCCGGGCCTGGCAGCCATGGCTGTCTCCAGGGGGCCGGGGGCCGAGGTGCTGCGGAGCCAGCAGCTGGAGTTGGGTATGGGAAGGGGTGGGCGACCGAATTCCTTGGCTCCTGTGGGAGGAAGAGAGACAGTCAGAGAGGCTATGTCTACACTACCACCCTAGTTCGAACTAGGGGGGGAATGTAGTCATACGAACTTGCGAATGAAACCCGGGATTTGAATTTCCCAGGCTTCATTTGCATGTTGCCGGGCGCCGCCATTTTTAAATGTCCGCTAGTGCAGACTCCGTGCCCGCAGCTACACGCGGCATGAACTAGATAGTTCGGACTAGGCTTCCTATTCCGAACTACCGGTACACCTCGTTAGGGTGGTAGTGTAGACGTACCCAGAGAGACAGGGCTGGCTCTGCATGGGGCCCGGGGCCTGTCCCCTCAAGGGGGCGCCAGCTCCCAACTGGCCCCAGAGCAGGGACTGGCTGGCTTGGAGTGGGGCAGGACACTGGTGGCTTACCGGTACACCTCGTTAGGGTGGTAGTGTAGACGTACCCAGAGAGACAGGGCTGGCTCTGCATGGGGCCCGGGGCCTGTCCCCTCAAGGGGGCGCCAGCTCCCAACTGGCCCCAGAGCAGGGACTGGCTGGCTTGGAGTGGGGCAGGACACTGGTGGCT